TCTCACCTATAACTGAATCCGTTCCGGCAGATGCCAAGGCTGCCGCTGCTGCTTGAACCAACGGATCACTCAACTGTCCATATACTGAAGATGGAAGCATAGCTGCAATCAGAAACATTCATCATCACATGAGAATGGCCAGTTTTTTTTCTAAGAATCTATGAAAATTCATGGATTTCCATGAATGAATAAAAGGATTCAGCGGCCGACTCACCTAGTATCTGGAGACGAAAACAAACACTGCCACACTGCACTACAACACCTGGTATCACTTCATGGCTCTCCAGGGCTACACAAATCTCTAGTTGATGATCCGACTTGACGATGGGAAGTAGTAAAGATGCGAAGTGCCTCCCTCCTCCCATCCCCTCCGAAATGCTCCGCCCCCACCCAGCCAAAATGCGCCGCCTATTTGTATCTGTGGGCCCCTGATTCAACAGAAATGATTTTTAGTCGGCAGTTGTACGAGAAAAATCGGGGAAATAGTGCTCTGAAGCCACAACTAAGATAACAAAGACCAGAACTGTTTCTTAGGGCGTTGCTGGGCTTCGTGACCTAAGCTCTGTAAGAGCCATCATGAAAGCATGTAGAGTGTATGATTCAGGGGTAAGTCATCCAGTAGGCGGGGCAATACAATCCACCTACTCATTGGTTTCGTGGAATGGAGCATGGTTGGGTTGGCAGGGTCGAAGGATGAAGCTCTCGGAGTTGATCTTTTCCTCTTCTGGTGTGCCATGCCCTCAACTTCCATTGGGAAATCGTAGCCATGCAGTTTGGCTTGGTTGGCTTGACTGGGAGCCGGTTGATAACTGATCTCAGAAAGTAAAATTATCTCTTCGAAAACTGGATCTCATTCTACCTGAAGCCAAAAATTGGCACTGGCTTTTTCAATGTAGGCGGAACAAGAGACATGTGATGGACCTTATTAACCTGTATGTTCCTACTGATTGCTGCGACCGCGTTAAATTACTCACCTACCCTTTGAAATATTTTCGCCCTCGTCTACCACATGGCCAGATTAAGTTCAGATCTTCTCAAATGAAGTTCGGCCTGGTTTTTGTTTGACCCCTGCAAAGGGATATCAAATAGTAAGCTGTATTTGGACCACATTAATATTCAAACTGCTGTTTCAGGGAGTCGCGACACAATGTTCACAAAAATCTTCGTGGGTGGTCTACCATACCATACCAGTGACAAGACCCTTCACGAATATTTCGAACAATTTGGCGATATAGAAGAAGCCGTTGTCATCACGGATCGTCAAACGCAGAAGAGTCGAGGATATGGCTTTGTGAGTGCTTTTGACCCTTTTGACAACACTTTGACGCGGCGTTGCGGCGGCGTTCAGAGTTCGCGAGCTAGGCGATTTCGTGATCTATTGATCCGATAGCCACCCGATTTTTGACCAACTTACAGGCACAGCGCATCCAAGGCATTTGAAACCACGACAACGGGTCCTATGAGGTGGGGAATTCCCTAGGCAGGAGCTGTTGGTGGATAAACCTGGTTACTGTTCAATCAGGGGATACTCGATA